ACGATATCTCTGTAGATTCGCCGTTGGCGTTACGCATTAAAGGCCACTCTCTGCAGGTAGGTGATCAGGGTTTTTATTTAAATCAAGCTTATCAAGTTAAATTCTGGGATAATCAGATCTGTTAAAGTGCACGTTTAGGACAGCTAGTGTATCATTTATACACCTTCCGATTGTGAGCAATCGCTCATTGTTAAGTTTCTGTAGCTACTACTGTAGATGGTGAAGACGTCCAAGAAAAAAAAGTGTTCCTCAAAGAGCATGCACACTGTAGCTTGTCCATCTAGCTCTAATATAGAACTAATGGAAGTAAGCTTAAACCTCACGATACCGTTGCTCAGCAGACAGTGCATGTCAGATTTTTCGTTCAAAGGACAAGCGCATGTCTTCTTTTAGGCATCTTAGGGTTTCTTACATATCGATTGCATATCATATTACTTCTTGTGAAGTTGGGCTTCACAGATTGTGCATCTATACTTGTTCTACCGGGGTATCATCCCCCATGACTTAGACAGGTATATATATTATCACTTCATTGCATTTGCTATATATTTAATATCAGATAAGTGGGTTGCTTTTGTTGTCTATCATGTACAGGTCATGCTATGTTATGCTTGTGTCAGTTCATCTCGCCACACGCCAGATATAAGTGAACTCCGTGTACTTACTAGTATGTATACATTTATTCATAGAATCGCGTTTCACAAAATATGAATATTGGAGTCATACATTTGTAAGACACTTTTAATCTGATTAAACTGCTCTTTGAAAAATTTACATCAAATTTCTCGTGAGGTGGAATATTGCACTGATGAAATGTTTCTAAAGCATTTCGGTATATGTTTTGTACAAATTAAACTATCCAAGTATACTGTTGTCATGTTGTGAAACTAGTAGACCTTTGTGATTTTCCTGGTCATATTTTGAAGACTGGGAAGACAAGTTTATATGTAGANCTCGCCACACGCCAGATATAAGTGAACTCCGTGTACTTACTAGTATGTATACATTTATTCATAGAATCGCGTTTCACAAAATATGAATATTGGAGTCATACATTTGTAAGACACTTTTAATCTGATTAAACTGCTCTTTGAAAAATTTACATCAAATTTCTCGTGAGGTGGAATATTGCACTGATGAAATGTTTCTAAAGCATTTCGGTATATGTTTTGTACAAATTAAACTATCCAAGTATACTGTTGTCATGTTGTGAAACTAGTAGACCTTTGTGATTTTCCTGGTCATATTTTGAAGACTGGGAAGACAAGTTTATATGTAGAATTTGGTTTTCATTATGTATATGTTTACCATGCTTTATTAATTTGATTGCAATACTTGAGCTTTTAGAGCTGTGCTGCTGGTACTCTTAGCTCCACATTTTATACATTATTGATCAGAAGCTATCTGGTACGAAATGAAAATGTCATATTCATACATATATGTGGTATAAGAAGTTTACAGGAGATGATGAGAGGTTTCAGAAGGAATTGAGACCTATTAGCTGCTGCATGCAATGCGCCCATTCAATGACACTACGGAGTATTCAACACAGCTTTTGGGAGGTTAAACTGGTTTGAGACTTTTTGGCGTCATCAGCCGATCAAATCAATCAAGCAATGTATTTTGAGAGGAAGCATGATGCTGATATTTCAGAGTTGCGTCCTGCTGATATACGGCAATCTGGTATTTTGCTGTTTTTCTTACTCTTTTCTCACCGAATGACGTAATTTGGCGTTATTTGGTACCCTCTACGACCAGAATAATAGAAATATATGCATTTGTAGTTACTGTTATGACATAAAGACCGTCTTTAATAGTAACCGTATAGTTATTTATAAAGATAAAACCTACTGAAATGCCTATGGAAGTGCTGAACTTTTAGCACATCCTTCGACAGGTGCACATTGAATATTGCTCTTTTTACCTGCCATAAATCGATGCTTACCTAATTAAGTGGAATTTCCCTGGGAGATGAACAATTTGAACTGACATTGATGGCAATAAGTGAGCTTCCCTTTTCATAGACAACACGTTTTCAATAAGTCTTTATCAATGTCCATCACACAGGAAGCATGCATGACGGACATGTGAGGCATTTTAAAGGGCTGAACGCGCTCTCACTGGGGCAGTGGTTGAATTAATGTTGATTGATTAATTGGCCGGTAGGAATTAACCGAAGCCAATTAATCAAATGATTCTCATTGCTGATAACATAAGGACAGATTAAACGGGCAGAGTTCTCTTGATAGACAGGAATGAGTTGATGTCTTAATTTGCGCTTCGATGTGATTGGCGTGCTAAACGACAAGCAAAGACCAAGATGTTTTCGCCAAAGGGATTTTTGTGTTCATAAGTACTGTCGACGAGATAAGAAAGTGTATTTTTCAGTCAGAATATTTCTCGACCAACTGACATAAAATTAATATAGTTGACATACCTTAAAAGGGTTATAGTCAAAACTGTGCGTAAAACCAGTACCAAGACAGCCTAACACTTCACTTTGAGAGGCAAGAAAAGAGATTACCTGTACTTTAGATTCCGTATGGAACACATTTTGAGATATGATTTTGGACTTCGCGCCTAAAACAGGGNCCAGGGGCGCCGGCGGGGGCAGTGAACCCAGCAGTCCAAAGAGTACAAGTAGTGGTGCTACATCTGCCAAGACTGATTTCCCCCTTCCTGTGCCCCCAAGAACAGTGAGCCAGACCTCCCCACCGTCACCAAAGCAGCCTTCCACATCGGGGTCTGCAGCTTCTGCCATGTCCTCCCAGCAGACTGTAGCAGCTATTCAACATTCCATGTCTACCAGTAGTAATATTACCCCACCCAATGTGGTGGTGGGGGCTTCAGGAGCACTGGAACCCATGCTGGGGTCTGGGGCTGCCAAAGAGAAGGAGAAGGTAAAGTGGAGGGGGGGGGGGGGCACTGTTTTTAATGGTGTGGGTGTAAGTTATGGTGATGACTCGCTCTTTTCAATGAAAAAAAACTTTCCAAAAATATAATTTTTTATGTAGCATTTGTGGTACTTGAACTGTATAGAATAGTACTATACGGTAGTCTGTGTTTCAATTGTGCTGCTACTACTCAACAGGAATGTTCTTTGTATAGAATTTATTACATAAAAAATACAGTATTAGTAACATTCACAATTTTTCCCTTTGAAAAGATTGAGTCATTACCATAGGTTGGGTTGTGATGTGAAAATCGGCTGGGGTCTATAAATGTCTTACGAGTAAAAATGGTTTTTGGGGAAAACTCGTTACACTCTTGTGCAGCCAGTGAGAATATGCAGAAAATGGAGGGAGATACTCATTGAAAGTGTGCATGGATTTTTAAACTCTGTACATTTTATTGTGATTTAATAACTTAATGAAACAATAAAAATATCTAAAAAAAGACCAATAATCCAAATATGAAAAATGTGAACAAATTGAATATTTTTTTAATTAGAAAATGTTATTCTTTTGGAGATAGTTGGAGAGCTAATAGGTTTCCCTTTTAATCGATATTTCCAGAAGAAAGAGAAAGAAAAAATGAGTCTGATGAAAAGGCTGACAAGCAGTAGCAAGGGTAAAAAGTCCAAGTCTGCTCAAGAGACACCAGAGGCCGCCACATGTCAGGAGGGTGCGTCTGGGGGTCATTCTCGCAGTGGTTCCCTACCTAGTGAAGAGGGCGCCGTGGCACCTCCCCCGGCAGTGGTGCACCATAAGAAAACTGGGTCCCTTGATTCTTCCACGGCACCCACTCCCAAACCTGGCAAGCCAAAGCCTCTGATCAGAGAAAGGTGTGTAGAAGTAAACAAAATAAAAAAACACTTTCATTTGACTTCTGTCAGCCTTTATAGATGGCGCCTCATACTCCCTATCTCATCTCAAGTTGGAGGAATGGGCTTTGAGATTTTGAGGTGTAAAGTTCTAGTGGGACTTCAGTTTTTATTAGTGTTATGCTTATTGCATGATGCCAACTATGAATGAGGCCCAAAAGTTTCATTAAATTCAGTTATAAAAGGTTGCTTATTGATATCAAAATCAAATACAATTCATTTTAAAAGGCAAATTTTAGAATAATGGATCATGAATCAAAGGAGTTCTCACAAATAAAAGTTTATACTTAAATTTAGGTCAGAGCAATGCCTTTAACTGTTTAACACCACAGTGTATCAATAATGTTTTCCCAGGAGACTGCAATAATCTTATCTTTTCAGATTTCGCTGTATTGTGCCATACCCTCCCCAGAGTGACATTGAGCTGGAACTGAAAATAGGGGATATAGTTTATGTGCATAAAAAACGTGAAGACGGGTGGTTCAAGGGGACTCTCGCAAGGACAGGAAAGACTGGATTGTTCCCAGGAAGCTTTGTGGAGAGTTTTTAACTCACAATGAGTTGGGTTCAAAAGAAAAAAACTCAGAAATGTGCCACGGCCTGCCATCGGGATTCTTGGCAAAAGGAAATGCTCTGGAATTGGTTTCTGAGAAGTGAAATATGTCATGCTTTCAGTCATAGTGAGATAATGCAGCATTGATCGCAGTTCATCACCAAATAATTTGTCCTGTCTGGGCAGTATTAGATCAAAGTTGTTATGGTGAGTAATCTTGTAGGAACTACAAGAGACACAGACAGCAATAGAAGGTGTTGTATTGAGAGACATGGTCACAGACGGGAGTTGTAATGGATTACTCACATGGGTCTCTTGATGACATTTTGATCAAAGCTGCCAAAACAAGATAAGCAATTACAATTTTAAGACATATTTATCAGCAGATGGCATTTTTAGCGGAGCTACCAAAACCAAATAATGGGGAAAAAGCAAAAGATGCATTTAAGAACAAAATCAAAATCAAAGCTGCCAAATCAGAAAATGGAGTGAAAGCAAAGATGCTTTTAACCACATTAAATAATGTTATGAAAGTGTTATTAGAAATTTTGTGATTGTAAGTTAGTATCCAGAACAATGAGACACAATTGAAAGTGAAGCTGAACGTCTGTATGTAAAGGGAAAGATGTAGGATTTTTATATTAAATGTTTCTAGTGGAGTAGCAGTTTAAAAATTTTTTATTAAAGTGTCAAGAAAGCTGTTCTCATGTGGCCCATCACCTTAGGTATGTGGTGTTCAGTCAATGTACCAGTTGGTTTTAATAATCACTAAGTTTTATATGTTGTAATGTTTTTATTGACGGTTTTAAGAAATAATTGTATGCACCCATTTCAGTCAGCATATTCAAAAATAAGATTGGATTAAAATTTCTGTCAAAAATATGAACAATTTGAATCGTGTATGATAAGCATATCATTTCTGTTTAGCCATGCCACTGAAATATTGAAATTCATTAAAAAAATAAAACAAGGATCAAGTATTCATAAGTTAGCATTTACATGTATTCTTTCTGTGTTAAGTACAATGTCCTTAGATAGAAAAAAGAAACTCATCTTAACGGGTATTATTCGTTATAAGAAATATCAGAATCTCCCTCGTGGCAGGTTAATGCAGTATCCCTCTTAGCCCAGAGGACACTGACTGTTACCTGATTTTACTACCATTTTCATGGGCAATGCAGAAGGTTTCAGTTTACAACATAGCAAAAAAAAGTGGTGGGTTTCCTTACATTCTTTACTGATTGCAAAATGTGTCTTCTGCCAATGAATATCTTAGTTAACATCAACAGGATGTGTTTTTTTTTTTTTAAATTCAAAGATTATAGAGTGCAGTTATGAGATTACTTATGTTAACTTTTGGTTAGATAGCAATAAGAAGCTTCTGGTTTTGAAACATGACCTTGATTATTATGTTGCTGCCCCTCATTATTTAGATCATTGGCCATCATGCATGGAGCCATGCAGCAGTTTAGTTAAAGTATATGCTCATTTTTAAAGTGTTTTTCCCTTTGAAAAAATAGAGCATAAACTATTGATAGTTATTGCATCCTTTTGATCGAAAAAGCTCAACAGTATAGAATTTTATGCAGATCTAATAATTCTAGACTTTGTAATTAGGGGATATAATGAGGGGCATTATCATTTAAAGTGACTCCTAGTGCATATTTTGCTTATATGTTGGATTATGATTAAAATCGTCAAGGTATGTGCCCAAGTTCCCATTGGTGGAAATATTACTGAGTGAAAAATCGTTTTACTTGTGAAATGGGTAAAATGTGAAGTTTCGTTATAACTCACCGCACTGGTAATATCACTTGTGGATTCTATTGTTTTCTATATACATATAGTTCATTGGTACAGCTGGCATAGCAAAAAAGTAGATCTGGGCAAATTTTATGAAAATATAAATACAGTACGATATTAAATTGTTGTTGAGTTTTTTTTTTTCAGTAAATGCCACTTTTAGACCTGAACTTTCTGCACGAGATCTGACATAACAAATAAATGAGTGTTGCAATTTGCAAAATAATAATAATAATAATAAAGAGAGAGACTCAACACTCGCAAAGTTTACATCTCAGTTCTTTATTCAAAAATTGTGTAAGACATCTAAAATGATTTGCCAGTTTGATAAAATATTGTTCTATTAGAGCAAAGGACAATTGGGGGGTCGAGTGATTTCTCTTGTGAGGCTGGATACACTCTTCTACTAATGTAGCTTCATTCTCGGGTGTATCCCCCCACCCCCACCGCCTTGGTAGCTTGCCTTGACCAAATACCTATCGAAATTATCCTTTAACTAAGTGTTTAAAGAAAATAAGCATGCAATTTCACATAAATTCAGCTCAACGATCCAAGTGTTTAAATGCACTTTTCGTCAATAATCTTTTACGCGTTGAGCGGATGAGTCCAAGTGTTCCTTTATAGTGTTTAAAAATGAACATATAAATAATTATATTAAAGTATTTTGTTATAACATATTCCTGTTTAAAACATTAGTTTAAAATAAAACACATTTTGCACATTTAAGGGGGTTCGACACGTAATAAAGGCCTACATTTGACAAAATAGTTCTTTCCCCTTTTCCTCTATGTAGAATAATTTTATGAGTGCATGAATTGAGAGGAGTCGCCGAGGCTAGTTTGCTGTCAAAATTTGTTATCATACACAACACAACAGAATCAAATAGATGTAGGCTGAAAATGTCATTTTATTGACATTTGCACTTTGATTAATGTTCAAAGTACGAATGAAAATTACTGAGAGTTAGATATAAATCTATGAATGACAATCATGCATGTTATATGATTTTCAAGCTTAAAGATATAATTTACATTTCAGCAAAGATGGAGGGAAAAAGGGCCCACACATGGCAATATGTTTTAGATAAATTTTATGTCCAAAATTTGGTCGAGGCTGAGAGCGAGCTGCAAAGATGGAGGGAAAAAGGGCCAAAGATACAGATTGTCCGCATTATGATCAGCCAATCAGAATCATAAGGAGTTCAGCTTCACCAAAAAGAAAGAACACTCTCTCTCACTTCCTTAGAAATTTTCAACCTAGCAGTACATTCTCAGGAGAGAAGAGTTTTTAGTGAATTTCATAAAGTTTCTAAAAACCCAACCCTGTCCCTCCCTAATGTTCCCTGATTAATTAACACTACAAAACAATTATTAATTCTATGTATCATTATTATATGTATGGTATTTATGTTCAGAAACATTTGACATATAGGTAAGCCTCTATGGGTTAGCAGTTGTCATTTTGTTTAAGTCAACATACAGGGCATAACCTTAGCATAGGGCACATATGGCAGTTATAGGCCAAGAGAGACAACTCTATTAGTGGGCTGTCCGAGGCTGAGAGCGAGCTGCGCAACCCCTACCCTTCAGGAAGGGGACGTAGGTTTCCTCAGTGCTCTGACAGCCCACTAATAGAGTTGTCTCGAATTTTGGACATAAAATTTATCTAATACATATTGCCATGTGTGGGCCCTTTTTCCCTCCATCTTTGCTGAAATGTAAATTATATCTTTAAGCTTGAAAATTATATAACATGCATGATTGTCATTCATAGATTTATATCTAACTGTCAGTATTTTTCATTCGTACTTTGAACATTAATCAAAGTGCAAATGTCAATAAATATTACTGCAATAAAAATAATTTATAGCAAAAAAACTTTTTTTCGCCCCCCCCCCCCCCTCACTTACTTCACACAAAGACGCCAAGCGTTTATCGTAAATTTTCCTGCTTTGTAAATTCGTGTCAGATACTGATCGGTATACTATATATATATATATTGTTTAAGAGATATGACTTCTATAACCGATAAAATCTGAAGCAAGCATTTCAAGAAAATTTCCTGGTACTGGATTTTACTACTTATTTGTAGAATTAAATAGTCTTTAAATGGTTTTGATACATGTTCAAATGAGATGGATCTGCTTGAAATCAAAATAAGTTTTCTTCCCAAAATTGCTGCCGTGATGTCCTCAGCTCGAATTTGCAAATTCACATGGGTTTTTGATGAGATAGTTCATTTCTGCATTTCCTAAGCGGATAAGGAAATTTTCGTATCGAACCCCCTTGCCAGACATAAATACGAAATGCATATTAATTAAGTCAATTGATAGCTATACAGTTACATGTACATCAATTAAAGCCTAGATAACATTTGCCACAGATGAAATCGTATACGATATTTTTAGACATCTTAAATAACTACGGGCTATGTGTACGTAACGCCCCGTGCTATTTGGGAGACATGACCTTGAAGTCACGAAAGGAAAACTCGGTTTTTGGGTTGAAAAGCGACCTCTTAGTCCCAGTGCAGTTGCTGTACGCCTTCCGTGCGGCTTCCTTGAAGATCGATACGTTGTCGGACGAGATCCCTACGATATTTAGCACCAATGTGGTTGGAATGGGGAAACGCACAACTTTAAATTCGTGAAAGTGCATTACACCAATTTTTTATTATTGTTATGCTTCCTTAAACCACCAAAGGTGGAAGGGAAAGTGACCAACAACATGTTCGGTCATTATCACGGTCACCGCAAGTCCACCGAACAATACCCATACGGCAACTGCGCAATGCCGTCTACGATAATACTACGGCCCTCGGGCTTACGATTTTCAAAATTTGTCAAAAACTTTAGTTTGGCATAATCGAAGAGGCTACGGAGACTGTAAATGTGTATGATTTCGCACGGCTACGCGGCACGATAGGGGGTTTACGGGCAGTATACGTGCACCGTATGGACGTCGCATGACAAATGTACTCTTGACTTAAGAAAATTTAATTATAAGAACAGACAGAATCTGTGTAACGAAATACTTAACAAACAAAAACGAACGCCAAGGTCATTGATTTTACTGCCGTCCCACACCTGCTTCAGCGTTACACGCAACATTTCACGAAAAAACAAAAAAGTGTACAAATGACACTTGTTGACATAGACCAAAAGGTTCCGATGTTCAACGTATTTCATGGTACAGTCTAATATCTTAGTAAGTGTCCAGGAAAATTTCTTCTGCCATCATATTGCTTGAACTCCCCCAGCCAGTGCAGGCGTCCTCCCCACTGTATCCAGAACAATGAGACACGGCAAAATTCAATGTGATGTCCCCAGCTGGCAGACCCACACATGTCCCTTGTACTGAAATGAATGGCTAAGGAATTAAAACTTTGTTTGTGTCTATGTGTGTGTGCTAAAGGAGGGGGTACTGATCTATTAGCAAGCCAAATTCACCCATCAAAGAAAAAGTACTGAAAGGAATATTACATTTCTGTTACTTCAATCTAACTCTAATTGTGTGAATTTAGTATATGGTAAGTTATGGTTCAAACATACCTGTAAATGGGCTATGCAAATCGACGTTTCCTGCATCAATGTAATGGGTGTATTTGATACTTTCTATGGTTCCCGGATTGCTGCACTCTGTGCCGTTAAAGGTGAAGTACCACCGGGCACATTGGCCGTTGTTCCTCTGACGGGTGACTCCACTCCACAGGACTCTCAGAGCAGTAAGAGCAGACTTCTTGCTATATGTCTCACTCTGAAATAAAATCCATGCATGATTTTAACTTCAAATAGTTTTGAACAAATGTATGATAGCATCCCGGGTGCGACGTCAGTCAGAAGAAGGCAGGCGTCGGTGCATTATTTTAACAGCATAATGAGCATGTTAATTGGCAGGTGATTTACAGGTGAGCTGCCAGTTTGTTTGTGTGGCATATGTAAGTAAATAGGGGATGTCATAGATCACTGCACATATAATGATACTATGAGCTCAATATGTTTTCACTTGGATAAAATCCACTTTTTGTAATAAAAATGACCACTTACTTCTTGGGAAAATGCACAGGTTGTCATAAAATTTAAACAAACGATACATTGCTAGCTTTCCCTGCTACAACTTTGATTAAACATTCCTATACTGAATATTTTTAAATCAATCTATTATGATATTATTCTATTTTATTAAATTAAAATGCTTTACCTTTAAATATTTATGCAACAGTCTTTAAAAAATCATCCTCAGATGAATGCAACTATATTTCATTTGCCAAAAGTAACATAATATGTGCCTTGATCTATGACATCCCGTATTTAATTACACATGGCATACAAACAAACTGGCAGCTCACCTGTAAATTACATGCTCCTTATGTTGTTAAAACAATGCAAAGACACAACTGGGATGTGGACAATGTCCTGATTGGGATTTGGTCTGGGCCACTTAGGAAGTGGACTAGATTGGGATCTGGCCTATGACATATATATCAGCTTATACAACCAAGACGGTTTGAATTTTCTTACAAATCAAGTTGGCCAAACAAGAGTCATTTGACATTTGACACAAAAACAAATGTTTTCGTTCATATATTTGTCCCGATATTGATAATAAACAAACTTACTTTGATCGCTGTCCTTTCAGTTTCAAAATTAATGGCAGGGTACCACCAGTACTGGCGGTTGAAGACGGGGAGTCTTAGGGCCGAAATGCCCGATGTTCCCACCACTAAAATAAAAGCAAGCATTTTAACCTATTAATGTAGCCAATCAGTGGCGTATCTCAGGGAATGGCTGCGTGATACATTATACGGGCCGACCCGAGATACTCAGTGGAGCGATATACAAGAACACAGAGGGAAAACTAGAATATGTTGACAATAGGTCGTTGGTGAATGTCTTCACATTTTATAGTAACGGTATTATAATATTAAAACATGGGGCAAGCTGCTTTTGCCATACCACATCCCATGTCCTCTAATATGTTAACAACACCTTAAGAGAAGAAACTATTAACTTACGAGCGCCGATGTCCAAGCCAAGTCTAGTCTCTTCCACTCTTATTCTAGAAGTAGTGGTCCAGCCGGTTGTAGGGCTATGTTGGGGACCTGTCCAGTTACAACTCCCTGTGTGTAGACTTATTGTAATGTCTCCTGCCGGAAAACCGTGACAGATTCCAGAAACTGAAAGTAATAATATCGATAATGTGAACCGAAAAGCACCTGTAGCTAACGACAAACGATCGGAGTGTATAGTGCCACCATTATATATCAATACTGAGGTTTACTTAGGTGTAAAATCTGAAAAAGAAGTGTAAAATCTGAAAAAGAATATCAAAATTTCGATGCCAGAGATAACGCATTTCTATTAAATATACGATTTTAGTCTGTCGGGATCTAGGTTCAATTTTTTTCGTTAAAAAACTAGAAATGAAACCATTTTTATTCGGTACGTTTTAAGCATGAACTACCCAAAATGATGATAAAAAACACTAATTTTACTTCCAAAAATGGTTTTGAGTTTCAACTAAAATCATTATGCTTACACTCAAATGTCCTCCTGGTTTGTGGATTGTTATCGCCGTTGTTATAGATGAATGTGTCGATTATGCCTGGATTTGAGCACTCATTTCCATTAAACTTAAAGTACCATCTTGCGCAGCGGCCATTTCCATACTCGCGAAGGGTGCCAGTAAAGAACACTGCTACACTAGTGTCCGACGCCCGCTTTGTGTAGGTTTCCGTCTATAATTTAAACACAGTATATATATATATATATATATATATATATATATATATATATATATAAACATGATATTCAACCACGATCCGTGTATGAAAATCCAGCATATTTGATCATTTTGGACCAACTCATTTTCAGTACCATTGAGCATTCGGTAGGCTTAAACTGACCACCAACGACTTTTATGACAGCAACATGATTCATGCGTATATTTGCCATATGTATTATTATTATTATTATACAGACTTGACATTTAGTATGGAATATTTTTTTCTAAATCATTTTCATCAGTTTTTTCCTATTTTGCTGACTGATAAATGAAAATAGGGATTAAAATCGAGTTTTTGAAACTTTTAATTATCTCTTTGATGTCATTGTGACATCAGTTCATTAATGGAATTCGCCAGAGAAGCAAACAAAAACACATCGCCTGTTCTATGTCACACGACAACCATTAAAAGAGATATTTTGGATCTCCATATTTTCAAAATTATTGTCTGTAAAGAGTTGCACGCTCCACAAAGGACCCTCATGTCAGTGTCTAGTCACAGTAACGGTCGCTGTTACGCCTGAACTTCTTCTGGCTGCTACCAGCGCTCTCAAGCGGCAAGGCATTCCTTGGGATAGTTTTTTAGAGTTCAACCTGGAATAACATTCCAGGCATCGGTCAAAAATCTGTCCAATGTGGTCCAATTTTATTGTAGGACATGTAGGCCATTGATTCGGCGAATAATGGCCTCACCTCATGTTGTTTATGCGATTTAAATATGGCGATTTTGATGACCAAGGTGGCTGCTCATTCCCTTGGTTCTGTAAGTAATCTGCTATTTAAAGTGCTCTGTGTGAACCAGCAATATCACCGTGCAACCTAAAATTGATCCTAAGGTGCTCCCTATCAAATGATCAAGTGCTTCCCATATTATTCCTTTATTTGATCTGGTTCAGGTTTTCGTAGATGACTACCATTGGAGTTTTGGCACCAATGAGGCATCCACTCCAAATGCTGACGCTGTTAATGACCTTAGTCACTTTTGACGCGGTACACGCTTCGTCGTTGGCCTCTTCTGGATGTCTGTAAACTCTGTTTTGATTAGATGAGCGGTACAGGTGAAATCTGACCTCAATAAAGAAAGCCACACAGTTTCAGTGTTCTACCAAGAAACGGTCAAGGTCCCCAATTCATTAGAGAAACATACAACGATGCTTTGCTGTTTACAGTGGGTTCCTCGGAGGTCATCTTGTATTCTAACCTGCTAAAACCAGTTTGGTGTTCGCTAAGGGCCTTGAAAATGCGTTTTGGTGGCAATTTAACCCTCATTCTGAACAGACTGGGTGGTTTTTGTTTACTTGCAGCAGCATACCCCGAAAGACAGTGGGTCCCGTACCCTGGTGGTAAGATTTCAATACATTGGGTGTGGGTACATCAGTCTGGGCATTACTCTATAAAACTATGCGGACCGTTTCGTTTGGCGGAATTATCTGTCTGGCAATGTCTGTCTTTTTCGCGCCATTCTGCCACAGATTAACAAATTTGTAAAACACTGCATAACTCATTTTACACACTGCAAAACTGAACACTTACATGCAAATTTTCCAATTCTTCTGTGCAATAGTTGCCGACATATGGATACATTTTTGACAGAACTATGCTTTGCCAAAGCCAAGTTTTGACCTGCCCAAAGGAGCACCACCCAATTACTGTAAATCACTGCAAATTACATAATGCAGCAGCGCAACAAACCTGGTATTCAGTTAATTGGTAGCGACACACCTGACTACACACTTCTCCATTCACACATCTTAAATGAGATCGGTGTTTTTTGAAAAAAGAACGCATTTTTACCTAGGGATACCTTCGAAACTGAAATATTCCATATTAAATGTCAAGTCTGTATATTATTATTATATGTTATTATAAATTGGCTTATATTTTTGCATCCTTCGATCTCTAGAATCACAACGCTGAGTCTTTACATACCATGTATGCATTTTCATCTCGTGTTGAAATCTCCTGGTGGAGGGTAAACTCTTTAACGTTGAACAAAGTATATGAATCACATGACCCTGAAGAAAAAAAATTAACATTTATGCTTATTATGCACTTTTCAGAAGAGAAATTACCGAGCGTGTGAGCGAGTGTGTGTTGACAACAATGAAAGCTAGAAGAAAATAACTTTTTGTTACACTACCATGAAAAATAAATAAAAAAGGTTGTGCTGAATCAAGAATCAAACTTGAAAATCTGTTATGACAATCTTGAAAACGCATATTCAGCTTAATTTACCAGTGCCGGTTGGTCCTATCTCCTCAAATGCGAAATACCCGTATGAGATCCATCCCATGTTAGCGTCCGCCCCGCCACCCCTGTCTCTGATGTGTATCTGTATGGTGAGAGTACCTGCAGCAATTCCCCAGCAAATACCAGAGACTTTGAGAAAATATAGAAAAGAATGGCGGTAAAACAGAACACCGACCACGGTAAAAATTGAAATGGGTCGACAAAATACATGTATATCCTATAAGATTGTATTTCTAAAGTAGCATTTCGCCTTCAGTTAATAAAATCCAACACTGGTGAACGTTCACATTTAAAGGATAGTTGTATTTTGACTTCTTAACAGACAACATTATCTCCAAGACACACATTTTCTGATAATGCATTAAAACGATTTATAACATGACTAGATATAATTACATGATCCGTGCTCGTGCTTGTCTCGGCGTGAGGCATGGTACTCCACCAATTCAATGGTGCCTGGGTTGGAACATTCTGCCCCGTTAATCGTGAAGTAGAAACCAGAGGCACAACTGTTACAATGATAGGCGGCGCGGATTGTTCCACTGCAGGAAATCCGAAGCCCGGTGCTGGACTGTTGCTTTACATATGTGTAGCTCTGGAAGAAATATCGATCTTAATATGAAACATTTGCAACTCAATCATTTCTGGACGAAGAACAATGGTAACGCAATCTCTAACAGAAACGACGTTCCTTGACTTTATATTGCGTATAAGAACTAGTGTCTATCTATCAGAAATAAATGATGAAGAATGGAAAAACACGCACAGAAAATCTAAGATTTAATTTGGGCAATCTTTGAATTTTAGCAATTATTGATCGCCTTTATAATTTTCGACAACTTTTGAATGGCAGCCTCGTTTTTATTTTTATTTTTTAGATATAAACATTCAAGCGAACTTTCAAACTGGTTGCTGGCCTGAGGTTTCCGGACGGCCAATATAGTACATCATTGTATGGAGAGTACCAGAAGGTATGTATTTTGAATTTCAGGTTGACTTCATTTACGAGTATGTCTGAAAGCCTGCAATAGAAAAGTAATCTCGACTGAGTGTCTGCAGGAGTGTGTGATCTTTCCCGATCTAAATGTAATTTTTGTTTCTTTCTTTTTCCTATGTTTTTTCATCATTTTTATTTTTGCTTTAGCCATTGTATACCAAACAAAGCGAGTGAACTTTTTTGCTCTCTTAGTTCACGCAAACACTTACCGGGCCGTTTACGCCTGAAAAGCTGCTCGCGTAACCTTCGTAATGAATGTTGGTCACCGGTGCTTCGTCGCAATCTTTCCCACTTCCTAATAAAATTACAAATTATACCCATTAGTTCTTTGTTCTTGTTGCTATTTTGATATTTAAAGCACAATATGTTGTATACACTATACCTTCATGGATCGATTGGTGGCTCCATTTGAGCAATAATAAAAAAGGCCTCCTCGCTTTAGGTTCACGTAATAAGTTTTAAAAACTTTGTTCAGTACTAAAGATTGCATCCGTTGGCAGAAGATGCAAGTCGCAAGCCCAGTCTGTGTACACAAAAACTCATTCAACCAATTTAATTTCTCTTATGTGGTTTACATATTCGTGGTGCGCGTGGGCTCTTGTATGTGTAGGAGTGCATATTTTAAGTGAGTTGTATGAATGGAACAGTACAAGTACATCAGGTGTGAATGCATGTGTATCCGTGTTACAGTATATACTTGGCATTTCGTTATTTTATGATGTGTTTCACCTACCACCTATGAGTCTTATATTTATTGTCGGCTGTTTCACAATCAGGGTGAACAATTAAATGTGGTTAATGTTACAAGTGACCGATAAATTAACAATTTATGACTGGAGATTGCTGATAGACTAATATCAAAGACACTGTTCATAGGAGCAAAAATAAAAAAGAATTATAATAATCGGATTACAATTTACAAAAATATAGCCAATTATGTGTTCAAAAAGTACCTATTTTTAGCTGTTACGGTGGGGCATTTGCAATTAAGGTCATAAAGATGATGCACTAGCTCTTTATGTCAATGATTTATGGTGAATATGATATTGGTATATAATTCCCACAACATCTGTCTTCTCTTCTAGCAGGTTCTTCCAAAGATATGTTCTGAGAAAAAAAAATATTTTAACCATTTTGCAGAAACTGGCTATGATACACATTTCACTTATTTTTCTTAATGCAATGAAAAACATATTTGATAAGGTCAAATATAACTTTGAAATCACCTACGTGATAATAAGATGAATTTGCCATATTATGACTTAAACATAATAAAGGAGTTGTGCATATGTAACCATTATTATTAATGCTATGGTATTTATAATCATGAGCCCCTTGGTGTCTCCTACTTTTTGTAGTGTCCGTACCCCCCCCCCCCCCCATCTGTTTTATTTAGGAATCACAGCATATTCTCTCTGATATTATTATTCTATAATGTCTACACTGACATTTATTTTGCAGGAAGAAAATAGCACATAACCCCTTATTATGAAAAGATATGCAAGAATTTGGTGCCAAATGTAGTGTCCGTACCCCCAAGTTATAGGCTACATTAACCATTGGATAACTGGCTACTTATCAATGATGATAAAACATCAAAATATGGTACAAAATATTGTTTTAGACTATATAAAATGCATTCATGTCTTGTGATGTTTAGAAAATATTGTATATAAATATATATTCGATAAAGTGATACTGATTAATTAGAGTCAGGCAATAGATTTTGCAAAGAAATAATATCAGTAAAGATGCTACTCCTTGCATTCAAAATGAACAGTATTGGTTTGAATATATTGCCAAATATAGCTAATTGCAAAATAATAAACTGTATATGGATTAATATTCTATGGATTAATGTATATGATATATTTTGAGGTGGTACGAACACTTCAATACATGCATAATTAACAGTACATTTATTATACTCTCAGTGAATGAAGTATCAAATATGGATGACAATAAACAAAAAGCCAAATAGGTAAAGAAAAAGGGATCCTGAAAATTTTACTTTCAGCAAAAAATAATTTGAAAAAAAAAGGTCAAAGAGCTACTATCCGTAAAGATAATCTTGCTGAAGCACGTAAGGAAGACGTTATACGTTGAATGCACGTAACATAGAAGAGAAGCAAAAAAAAGGAAGAATCATCCTAGGCCGGCCCAGCAAGAAAGACTAAAGTAAAGAGAAGAAATTAGGGCATACTGACAGAGAGTTAAGGAGAAGCAGAAACCCAACAATCCTGAAAACAGTAGAATAAGAGGTGCAAATTAACGAGAGATGAAAAAGAAGAAAAGACTCCAAAAACAGGAATCAAGACTGAAACCAAAAAAAATGAATAAATAAAAAAGGTCAAGCAACAGAAAGAAAAGTTAAAATTAAAGTCTGGTGAATGAAAGTCAAACTGAATGACACACAACCAAGCTCCAGCATCCACTGAAAAACGTGCTGTGGTGTTTCTCTAAAAAACTCTTTGATTAATACATGTACTTGTATCCTTTTGGTTAAAGTACTGCTGTTATTTCTTTAGTTTGATTTTTTTAGAATTTTGGCAAAAATAACAGGTAAACAATATGATATTTCAGTTACAAAAGCATCAGTTACTTGAATGTGTAGTGTCCGTACCCCCAGATCATAGTCTAAGGGGCGTTCTGTTAATTTAAGCGTAGCACAAAAAGTAATTAATATTGTGCTCTAAAAATTGTAGATATCATAGTTAAGGTGTTATTCTTTTTATCTGTTACAAAATTAAACAAATGCATCAGAGTTAATTTTTCTCTCAATGTGACCCCTATTTTGTACCCTTGATTGTGAAACAGCCGTGTGTATGTAACAATTCAGAGGTGTCATCTGCTTACTGAGATATCTAAAAAATATTATGAATTACAAAAAGTAGGTACAAAATGAGTTTGCATATTGTTAGTTTGAATTGTAGAGGTCTGGGAGGGTTTCACAAGAGAAGAGATGTCCTGAATTATTTGAAACAGAAAAGATACTCTATATATTGTATCCAAGACACTCACTAGAGAAGAACAAATCAAAAGTAAAGGCTATATGGGGGTACAAAACAATTCTTAGTCCAGGTAGATCAAATGCAAGGGGTACGGCAATTTTGTTCAATAATAATTTTGAATTTAAGATCACAAAAGAATCGCTGGGGAAAGAAGGTAATTATGTGATTGCTGAAATTGAGGTAGAAAATAAATACTCTATCCTTCTTGTCAATTTGTATGTTCCAAATAAAGATGACCCAGAATTTTCTGACCACCTTGGACAAATAATTGGTGACTTTGAGGGTCACTTTGTATTAATGATGGGAGACTTTAATTTGGTGCAGGATTATGATCTAGACTACTATAATTATAGACGAGTTAATAATCCACATGCAAGAGACACTCTCTTGCAGTTGAAAACAAAGTTCAACCTGATTGACCCATGGAGAATTCAACATGAACAAATGAAGCAATAAACTTGGGCATCTACTAACCCTACAAAAAGAGCTAGACTTGATTTTTTCCTTATCTCTAGTGAACTAATAAATCTTGTCGATCGAACTGAAATAACTTATGGGTATCGGACTGAAAGATACACCTGAATCTCATACTTTCAGAGAAAAAAAAAGGGAAGGGCTTCTGGAAAATGAATAATAAGCTTTTGAAGGATCTAGTATATATTACCGGAGTAAAGAAAGTAATAAATGACCTTAAATATCAATATGCTGCAAGTCCATACAAAAAATCAGAATTATCTAAAATAAGTGATGAAGACCTTGATTTTTTAGTAGATGAGCAAGCTTTCTTTGAACAGATACTACTACAAGTTAGAGGATTTACAATTGCTTACAGCTCAGCAAAGAAAAAGGAGAAAAATATAAGAATGAAAGCCTTGGCTGAAAAATTACAGAGATATATTCCCAAAATACTGAAAATCCCACACCCGAACATGAAAATCAACTCGCAATACTGAAACTAGAAGGAGAAGAAATGAGACAAGAACATATCAGGGGTGTTTTCATAAGAACTAAAGCAAAATGGTCAGAGGAAGAAGAAAAACCTTCAAAATATTTTTTCTCCCTTGAAAAAACGAAATTATGTCAATAAAACTATAAAGAAAATTGTAAA